GGCATGCACCACCATTGCCCAGTCCTGTAAGTCTCTTCTTAATAAAGGACTGAAAACTGACAGTGTTTCCACCCTTTACAGATCTCTACCGGAAGTTTTAGAATTTTATTTGGCATATTGATAAAATCCAACATTTACATATTTTCCTGAGGATCTGGCAAAGCAATTCAATCTATAAAATTGTCCTTTGACTTGGGAAACTTATCTTAAATACTCTCTTTAATAAACATCTCCCTTATTTCCTTTTCTGGAGCCCTTGCTAGTCAAAAGACACCTTTTCCACACACCCTAGTTCACCTCTGCTCTCTTCTTCCCTGCTCCCTTTGTTTTCATGTTGCTTTCCAGGAAATTCCTCTATGTCCCAACTTTAATATTGCCTTTTTAGTCTCTTCTGCAATGCCTTTTGCTCATTACAAATTTGTTGATTAACTGGCTTTGTGTTAGCTCTCATTTCTTCAGGAATTAGTAACTGTATGTACTTTCTATCTTGCCTTTTTTTCTTTTTTCTTTTTTTTTTTTCTTTTCTGCTTCTTTTTTTTTTTTTCCTTTTTTTCTTTTCTTTTCTTTTCTTTTTTTTTTTTTTTTTTTTTTTTTTTTTTTTGAGACAGTAGACAGTAGCTGTCCTGGAACTTTCTCTGTCGACCAGGCTGGCTTTGAACTCACAGAGACTCACCAGCCTCTGCCTCCTGAGTGCTGGGATTAAAGGTGTCCACCACCTGGTCTCTGCCTTTTATGTTGAAGAACTGCCTCAGTCATCTGGTGGTCCTCAGTTTCCCTTTCGTGTTTAGTTAGGGGTGTGATGCTAAAAATCTGATGACCCTTGACCACTGACCTATACCTAAAGCAGTGGAGTAGGAGAACACCACATCTCTAGGTATTTTCTCTTAGATCAGATTTCCTGTGTTAAAGTTCCCTTCCAGTTTCCTGAGAATGTGAGAGCTGGAGGTGCAGGCAGGGGTCTTCTTGTTCCATGTATCACTTCCACTTAACCATCCATCTCAGCTGTTCTTGGTTCCTGTTGTCCTTCGGTTCATGGACCTGTTTTATCCTATGCAGAAGGCCACCCTCAGATCAAGGAGACTGGGTATTGTTTCTCTGTCCTCTCATCCGGAGTTCTTGCATCTTCAGAGATACCTGCAGCCTCTAATTCGTGACTTTAAGTCAGTCATGATCACTCATCTGCCTTCAGCTTTTAAAATCCCTTCCCATTTCCCCTTTTCATCCAGGTCTGTGTGCGTAAGAAAAATCCATCTTCTGCTGTTTCATAAAGGTTTGTGGAGATTGCTGAGATAAAAAGCTGTGCTTAATTTGCCACCATTTTATTTTTAAAAAGTGTGTGTGTTATATGTGTGCACATGTGGAGGCCAGATGACAATATCAGGTGTTTTTTTTTTTTTTTTTTTCTATTGCTCTCCACCCTCTATTTTCAGAAAGGCTCTCTCACTAAACCTGGAGCTTAGACTCAGTGGGTAAGGACACTCGCCCTCAACTGACACTGGGTTTGATCCCTGGACTCCACCTGGAGGAAGGAGAGAACCAATTTCTACATTTTTTCCTGAAACCTTTGCATGTGTGCCATTGAGCTTCAGGGATGCTCCTGGATCCGCCTCTCAGTGCTAGGCTTGTACATGCTTGCCACCATGCCCGTGATGGTTTGTTTATTTGTGGTTTTTTTGCCAAAGGAACTCAACCTTTTTGGTCCCTCAGATCTAATTTGGAAACTACCCAGACTGGATGGGCTGATGCATCAATATGTTCTGCAGTCTTGTTCTATTTCTCTCCACTGCTCAGGTTATGCATACAACAGCCCCAATCCCACAGGCCATCTGCTTTGCCTCCAGACTGCTTACCACACAGGCTGGTGTCACCTCAGAGGCTACCCTTACCAGTTCCAGCTTCATTTTCTTTCTTTTTTTCTTTTTTTCTTTTCTTTTTAAAGATTTATTTATTGTGTTTACAATGCTCTGCTTACATGTCTGCTTCAAGAGGGCACCAGACCCAATTACAGATAGCTGTGAGCCACCATGTGGTTGCTGGGAATTGAACTCAGGACCTTTGGAAGAGTAACCAGTGCTCTTAACCTCTGAGCCATCTCTCCAGCCCCCAGCTTCATTTTCAAGTGTGAACAGAACCTACAGTCCTTTGGTACATGCAAGCATCCATGGACTTTCACTAGCTGCTCCACACATTTGATCTTGTCAGCAAGTCTCCAAAACTTCCCTACTTCTTTGAGTTTTACCTAGAAATGACTGTCATATTCCAGAGAAAACAGAAGCAAGCAAATGCAACTTTCTTTGTTCTCTTCATTCCGACTGCATCAAAGTATCTACATCTTTGTACATATATATATACAAAGTATAGCCATCCAGACCTTCCTACTCAGAAGGCCCATCTGTAAGAGGCTCTTTCTGAACTGTCTGGGCTGTCTTTCCCACCTGAGACCATAGGGGTGGCTTTTAGGCCCAGGCTATTTGCATCTTTGGGAAAATTACCCCATGTCCCCTCGTGCTTTGTGTCTTTGACCTCTTTAGCACATTCCTTTAGCTTTGAAACTTCCATTCTCTCTCTCTCTCTCTCTCTCTTTCTCTCTGTGTGTGTGTGGTGATAGGGGGACAGAGGACAGAACCTAGGGACTGCCACACATTGGGCAAGTGCTCTACTATGGATCCATTATCTCCAGTTCTAGTTTTTTTTTGTTGTTGTTTTTTGTTTTGTTTTCCTTTTAAAGGAAGTCTTCTAAATCCTTATTGGGCCAGGCAGTGGTATCACATGCCTTTAATCCCAGCACTCTGGAGGCAGAGGCAGGCAGATCTCCAAGTTTGAGGCCAGCTTGGTCTACAGAGTGAGTTCCAGAAACAACCAGGGCTACACAGAGAAACAAAAACCAACAACAAATCCTTCCTGAGATATTACTCTGCCTCCCTCACTCTCCCTCCTCTCCTTACTGTTAGTATGTCTTGAACTTGTCTTGTGCCTTCACCTTCTCTCCTTCCTAGCCCCGCTTTCTGCTGTGACCTTTACCTGCCTCCGTCTTCCTCAACGCCTTTTGACTGGTGTGTACCCACCTGCCGGCCTTGTTTCCTCCCGGAAGCATGTCACACAATTGGCCCCACCTTGTGCCAGACCCCACAACTCCCCATCCACTTTTCCCACGCCTCTAGTCACTCCTTTTCTATAGTTTCTTTGGAATAGTGATACCCTCAGTGTTCATCTCAGCCCTCTTTTTCTTCTGCTCGGCACAAAGCTTTTCTAAGGGGTCTCACACTGATCCCCGCAGCCTGCCCGCCACTTCTGCATAGATGACTGTATCTCTTGCCAGTTTTCTCTTATGAATTCAGATCTGCCTTTCCATCTGCTACTGATGGATTTCCACTAGGATATTCCACAGGTTATTCAAGTTCAGCGTGTCCAAAACTGGAATCATGATTTCAGTACTTAAAATTGTAATGATATGCTTTTGCTTTCTCTGAAAACAGAAAAGTTACTGTATTGATGTCTGGAAAACGGAATGACAATATATTCCTTGTAGAATTAAATGGTGTGTGCTGCTATGGCATATATTATGTGCTGGGAAATTTAATCCCCATGTGCCAATATTAGGAAGTGGAGCCTAATGGGAAGTATTTAGGTCTTAAGGACACCTCATGGATGAATTAATTCCATTATCACAGGAATGAGTTCACTCCATATGAAAGGGTGTTTGGACTCCTCTTGTCTGTCTGTCTGTATCTCTTACCCTCTGTTTTGTCTTTCATAGAATATAATAAACTCCTTCTAAATGCCTCTTGCTCTTGGACTTCCCACCCCCCCCAGAACTATAAGCAAGTATGTTTCTGGTCATTATGAATTTCCAAGTCCAAAATAAAATATATAGTTATAGATAGAAGAATTGGGGTAGGGAGGACTGGAATAGAAGGATCAAGCAGGGAAGGGAAGGGACAAGGAAACCAAGGAGGGGATACAGGAAGAGACAACTAAAATTAAGGCCATGTGAGGGGCCATGTGAGGGGTGGTATGGAAACCTAATACAGGAGAAGCTTCCTAACATACCTACATATATGAAGGTGATGTAAGTGAAGTCACCAAATAATGGGAGAGAAAAAAGGTCCAACTGTACATATCTTGCCACCAAATGGGGCTTCCAATAGCAGGCATGGGTTCATCGAATTGAGGGTTTTGGTTTTGGGTATTTTTTGAGAGGGGGTGGTTCTCTGTGTAGCCTTGGCTTCCTGGAACTCACTCTGTAGACCAGGCTGGCCTTGAACTCACAGAGATCACCTGCCTCCGCCTCCAGAGTTCTGGGATTAAAGGAGTGCGCCACCACCTGGCAAACATCTAATTGAGTTATTGACCAAAGGGATCCCATGAGAAATCCCAAACAACCCAGGCTGTTGCCAAAGCCACAGATTACTCTCCACAAACTGACAACAAGCGCCTTTGCTGAAGAAAACACCTACACAACTTATTGAACACAGAGAAGTTGAGCTGGTGCCTAACGAGATCCTTCACCCTTATGGACCAGAAGTTTCTGGTGCCAGAAAGCATTCTGCATGCACCAAGGGAGAAATGCAGACGGAAGCCCAGCTATGAACCCTCTGATCTACAATGGTGCCCTGCCTGCAAAGCATGCTGGAACAATGGTGGCATGAGGTTTGTGAAAGTAACCAACCAATATCTGATTTGACGGAAGGCCTACTCCATGCGATGGAGCCCATAATCAATGCTGCTTGGGTGGCCAAGAACCTGAGACTAGCTAGCCCGGGGACCTAGCCTAAAAAAAAAAATTGCTACTGTTCTACTAAAGGAGCATAGCAACAAAATGCCTCCCGATGACATTCTGCTATACTCATAGATGAGTGCTTTGCTCAGCCGTCCTCAGAGAAGCTTCCTCTTGCAGCAGATGGGAACATATACAGAGTCCCACAGGCTGACAATATGCAAAGATTGAAAGACCTTGGAAAACACATTCCTAATGGGATGCCTCCATCAAATCCCTCCCCTCAGGGCTCGGGGATCCCTAAGGAAGAGGAGACCTAAAGAGTGCAAGAGCCAGAGAGGATGGAGGACACCAAGAAAACAAGGCCTTCTAAAGGCAACAGACCAAACCAAGGCACTTATCAACTCAAAGAGACGAGGCAGCAGGCACCGGGTCTGAACAGGTCTGCACCAGATCCGGGGGGGGGTCTGAACAGGTCTGCACCAGATCCGGGGGTCTGAACAGGTCTGCACCAGATCCGGGGGTCTGAACAGGTCTGCACCAGATCCCGGGGGGTCTGTACAGGTCTGCCCCAGATCCGGGGGTTCTGTACAGGTCTGCACCAGATCCGGGGGGTCTGAACAGGTCTGCACCAGATCCGGGGGGTTCTGAACAGGTCTGCACCAGATCCGGGGGGGGTCTGTACAGGTCTGCACCAGATCCGGGGGTCTGAACAGGTCTGCACCAGATCCGGGGGGTCTGAACAGGTCTGCACCAGATCCGGGGGGTCTGAACAGGTCTGCACCAGATCCGGGGGGTCTGAACAGGTCTGCACCAGATCCGGGGGTCTGAACAGGTCTGCACCAGATCCGGGGGTCTGAACAGGTCTGCACCAGATCCGGGGGGTCTGAACAGGTCTGCACCAGATCCGGGGGGGGGTCTGTACAGGTCTGCACCAGATCCGGGGGGTCTGAACAGGTCTGCACCAGATCCGGGGGGGGGTCTGTACAGGTCTGCACCAGATCCGGGGGGTCTGAACAGGTCTGCACCAGATCCGGGGGTCTGAACAGGTCTGCACCAGATCCGGGGGGTCTGAACAGGTCTGCACCAGATCCGGGGGTTCTGAACAGGTCTGCACCAGATCCGGGGGGTCTGAACAGGTCTGCACCAGATCCGGGGGGTCTGAACAGGTCTGCACCAGATCCGGGGGGTCTGAACAGGTCTGCACCAGATCCGGGGGGTCTGAACAGGTCTGCACCAGATCCGGGGGTCTGAACAGGTCTGCACCAGATCCGGGGGTCTGAACAGGTCTGCACCAGATCCGGGGGGTCTGAACAGGTCTGCACCAGATCCGGGGGGGTCTGAACAGGTCTGCCCCAGATCCGGTCCTAGAGCTGAGAGAACAAGACACACATCTCCATCCCTAACCCAGAGGGTATCTCCAGTTGATAATCACTTGCAAATGAAAATTTAGCTTTCTCCAAGGGAGTCTCACTGGGGTAACAAATTACCCTTAAGGGTAGGCCACATGCCCAGCAGTAGATGGCCAAGAGAAACCAAATTCACTGGCGTGTTTGGTGGTTCCTCTTCTTATTATGTCATGTCAAGGCTCCTTCTTTCTTTTAATTTTATCAGTTCTTATCTTTTCCTTTTAAAAAAAACTATATAGGTCCTTTATGTAGTATGACTTCTCGTTTTGTGTTTTTATGGAATTCATGAGTGTGGGAATGTGTGGGTCTCTGTGTCTGTATCTGTTTCTTGTGCCTTTTCTTGGGCTCTTTTTCTTCTGTTTGTTTGTTTGTTTGTTTGATCTTATTCTGATGTATTTGTTTTGTTTTATCTTATTGAATTTTTTTAATGTTATATTATTATCCTTTAGAAGCTTGTTTGTTTTCTAATGAGACAAAAAGGGGACAGATCTGGATGGGAGGGGAGGTAGGGAGGAACTAGGAGGAGAAACTGTCAGGATGTATGATATAAAAAAATCTATTTTCAATAAAAAATAAAAATAAAAAAATTTAAAAGGCCACGCAGTGGCAGTTCATGCCTTTAATCTCAGCACCCCAGAGGCAGAGGCAGAGGCAGAGGCAGGTGGACCTCTGCGAGTTTGCTGTCAGCCTAGTCTACAAAGTGAGTTTCAGGACAGCTAAGGCTACATGGAGAAACCCTGTCTTGAAACAAACAAACCAACAACAACAAAATTTCAGGTTGTGTACTATTCTATTAAATCAACACAGCATGGACTTAGGGCTCACATCAGTTCTCATTAAGTGTCTGACATACTGTCCATGTTCAATGAATGATTCCATTAGTAGTGGCAGTAAGAGTTGCAGAGGGAAAGAGACTGGTATTAATATAGCCATTACTCTCTCCCCAGTAGCCTGGTACCATTCCAGATACCCCCTGTTCAACACTTAGGATTCATCCTTAGCTTCTCTGCCTATCAGTGTTTGTCCCCTACACCCTCAACATTATTCAATCTGTCATCAAGGCTGTGGGTCCCATTATATAGCCAGACCTCTGTTTCCTCCTCCACTTTGTCCCTATTCACTCCCATTTCTCACCCATCTAGTATACTGGGAAAGCCATGCTGTCTGGCCCCCAACCTCTGGTGCTACCATTTTCAATTCAGAGAGTCTTCTAAATCTCCACTGCAATGCTCCATCCAACATGCTTGTCTAGTGGTGTCACATCTCTCCTAAGCATGCTTCCACAGTAATTAAAATTGCAGTAGAGCAGAGGAAAGCTAATATTTAAAGTCATAACAGACCACAGCTGCATCTTCCCCTAAGGCAGGAATTCTTCTTCAGCACAAGGCTCTTTGTTTGGTGAAACACCTGGGTGGACACAGAAGGTGAACAGTTGTGGATCTAAAACAAAGAGAGCCAAAGTTCTCTGCAGAGCAAACACATAAGGAGTGTAGGTACTGGAGGACATCTAGAAAGAGAAGTATATAAAGAAAAGCCTTGGAGGGGAATGTACCACCTCATTATCTCAGGGGGAGGCTGGAAGAAAATTAGGCTGGGCTGGGAGTGGGGAATCTCACGTAAATAGCACAAATGTCTAATATGATCTTCAAAGACTCAGACTGTTTTAAACTACTCTAAAGCACCTGGACATTATGCCCATAACCTCCCATCTTTAATGACACTTATTACATAAACATTGTGTTGTATGATCTTACAGAAGGAAGAAGGGGCTGTATTATCCAGAGTTCTCTAGAGTCACAGAACACATGAACTGACCTCATTCATTCATCCATCCATCCATCCAGGATTTATTGGAATGATTTATAGGCTGCAGTTCAGCTAGTTCAACAATGGCTGGCTGTGAACATAAAGTCCAATAATCTAGTAGTTGTTTAGTCCCACAGGGTTAGGTGTCTCAGCTGTCTATGCTGAAATCCTGAATATTGTAGCCATCTGTAGTGGCCCCACGTTGGGGCACCAATCTGTCATAACATAACTCGTCTTGGTGGGGCTTCAGCCCAGTTGCCCGGTTCATACCTGAGAGGGCGAGTGTGGATTGAGAAATGGAAGGTAAAGACACTAAAAGGACAGAGACACAGGATAGAGTTGGGAGGTCAGTCTAGTAAATACTGGATGTCCCAAGTTTATTCTTCAATATTCTTAAATACCCCCAAACAAAAAAGGGGGACATGGCAAATGACTTCTTTATCAAGAAAGAAAAATAGACCTTCTTCTTTGATTCTCCAAACATTTGGTAACCATGCCTTAGACTAAATTTCTCATTATTTTGCCTTGAGGATTAAGTCTCTTATTATTTAGACAAGACACCCATGCTTAAAATCAACCATTCTACAGTAGCCAAGCCTTAGACCTTTAGGTCTTATGCCTTAAACCTTGGAAGAGTAAGAATAGTTTTGAACTCTCTGTCCTTAAGCCAAGATGAAGTGAAGCCATTTTTACAGGCTCAGATACCTGAAGAAGTAGGCCCCAACACCAGTGGAGGAATGAATGGACTAGCAAGGTGAGGGCAAGTAGGCAAACATCAAAAGTTTCCTTCTTCTATGCCCTCATAGAGATTCCCAGCAGAAAGTATGGCCCACATTAAAGGTGTGTCTTTCCACCTCAGATTTGTACCAAAAGTGTGTGTCTTCCAGCCTCACAACCCAGATCAAAGGCGCCTGTCCTCCTACCTCAAAGGTCTGGACTAGAAGTGGATTCACTTACTTTAAACCAAGCAGAAAATCTCTCACAGGTGCGCCCTCTATATCTAGATTATAGTTCATTCCAGATAGAGTCAGGTTGATGACCAAGAGCAGCCATCACAGCGGCGGTGTCCTGTTCAGCTCTGCTAAGAGCAGAGATGGAGACCTGAGGTGGGACAGGGTCTCTGTGCTTCTGGGGAGTGTAAGGAGGATGGGACTGAAACAAGTTTACTGGAGGGCCAGAGCAGCGTGGGGAGGGGCGAGTCTGATGTAAACAAGGCAGGGTTTCAAAGACAGGCTATTTCAATTCAATGTGCCTTCAGTTCTTTTCTTAGGGACATCTTTACTATGATAGCCTTGCTACGCTGATGATGACAATAGATTAAGATTTGCAAGCACAATCTCATGCCACCTTCTCCTAGGACCCACTGTGGAGATGGCATTATCAATCAGCTCTACTAACGAGGGCTGTTAATGTGCCTGGGGTCATAGATCTGGGAGAATCTAGGTGTGGGGGTCTGGTCAGCTGTCAGATCATGGAGGACCTCTCTGCACAGCCAGTGCTCTCACTTTATTCTTGGGAAAATGCTCAGCTCCAGTTTTTAAATTGCTCCGAGAAAAACTCCTATTCAGTGACAGCTCTGAACAAAACTATGGGAACAAAACTACTGGGCCCTACTAAAGGAAAGAGAGTACTCCAAGGAAGTACAGGAGGCCACAGTGGCTTGGACAAAGTTCCATGTCTGGTGCTACTTCTACTGCATCAGAGTCCCAGACTGGGTCTGCAGAACCGACAGTGCCAACAGGTGTGCCATGAGAGAAGTGTCCCACGGCAAAATAAGCATGGCATGATTGTAGTAAATGCAGTTTGGCAGACTTCACAGGGTCTTCCATGCTAATGTGCCTCTGGTTTTCCCAAAGCAAGCGCTGGTAGGCTCTGCTTTCCCAACTCAGGGACAAAGAGTTCCCTGGAACAAATACTAACCTCTTATGAAGCTGCTACAGCATTGAACAGTTTGAGCTCAGAGACTGGGACCCTTGAAGCACCCAGGGCAACTGCTCAGTGTCCAAAGACAAGCTCCTCATAGTATCTGAGACCCTCCTCTCCAAAGCCACACTCAGCTGGGTCTATACCTTCTTGCCTGGAAGATTTATTCCCATCCCACCCAATCTTACTCCTACTCTCAGCCCATCCAATTCATCTTCTTCAGCATCCCCCGCACCCTCTGGCCTCCGGCTGACAGGGTTTCTTGGCTATCCTGGAACTCACTTTGTAAAACGGGCTGGCCTTGAACTCACAGAGCTCCACTTGCCTTGCCTCCCAAGCACAGGTATTAAAGGTGTGTACCAGCAATGGCTGGCTTTACTTATTTTTTATATAGGGTTTTATATAGTTTTGGGTAATCTCAAGATCACTATGGAGTCAAATATAGCCTTGAATTTACAATCTTCCTGCTTCTCCCTCTGCAATACTGGGATTGCAGGCATATCTCATAGATCTGGTTTATGCTTTGTTAAGGATCAAACCCAGAGTTTCATGTGTACCAGATAAGCACTCTGTTGACCACATCCTCTTTCCAAAGACCCTCTTGAATGAGGCAAGATGTTTCTTCTTCCTTTGGCTAATGAGGTCTCTGACAGTATCATTAAAAAAAAAAAAAAAAGGTGCTTTCCAAAAATACATCATAATTATATCACAAAAAGACTGGGAAGGTTCATAGGGTGGCTACCATATCTTTATTATCATTATATTGTTTTTGAGACAACCCAGTCTCACAAGGTGCTGTGAGATCAAAAAAAAACAAAACAAAGGCAGACAGACTCAGGATTGTACAGAACGTAGTTTGTCAGGTGACTTGCTGACAGAAGTAAGGTCCTGCAGCTGCAACAAGACCAAGTGGATCCTCACAGTTTGGGTTAGAGAGAGAGGTGCAAGACAACAGTGACCTCATAAAAGTGGAATGTACCTGGTTTGTCTTAAGCTAGTATCAAAGCGACAGGCACATTCCTAGCACCACGGCCCAGCTGTAAAACTCCACATGCCACTCTAATGGTTGTCTATTTACAGTTTGCTGGGAAACTATGCAGGAAAACTCAGCCAGGTTATTCTGGGTCTGATCCTCTCTGCTACAGCTCAAGATGGCCGCCGTTATGTCAATATGAATTCATTCAATAAAGAAGCCAGCAAAAAGGAATATACTTCAATGGGGCCCGGTTCCTGTGGGAAATCCTTCCGTTAATGTTTAGAGGGAGCCATGGAATGATTCTGACATGAGTGAGAAGGCCACTCCTGTGATCTCTGCTGTGGCGCAGGTGTCTGGGAAGTGTCACAGCTGAGCGCAGGGCTGAGTGTGTTGAGAACCTGTTTGATGGCAGCAGCAGTGAACAGCATAAACTCAGCCGGCAAAGGAAGGCTGGCTGTGGTGCTTGAGGCATGCCTACTTGATCAAGCTATGGTGCGTAGGTGTTTGGTAAACAGCAGTGGAAATAATGCCATGAAAATATATTTTAGCTATAATTAGCATTCAACTCCACAGACTGAGATTACCTTCCACCTGGTGGGCAGGCCCCATCTGGTTAGTCGTAGCCCCCAACAGCAAAGACTGGCTTCCAGACAACAGAGAAACCTGGGCTGAGTTTCTAGTCCACAGGTTTCAGCCTCAAGGCTTGAACATTAATTCTTCTGTTTATTTTCGATGCCTTTGGCTGCTACAGGTTTCAGCCTTGCCTGTCCCACCATCATGTGAGCTAATTCCCTAAAATCCCACTCTGTCTTAGTGTCTGTGTCTCTTGTCTGTCTTTTTTTCATACATGTGCATTCGTTCTATTTCTAGCATCACTGTATTCACTAAAGATTAAGAATTAAAGGGAATGCCTAAAAGGAATGGGACTCTGGGTTTCATTCCTGACACTGCAGAAACAAACAAATTCATAAATGAAAGAGAACTTAACAGACCAGATGGAAGCAGGGAGGTGCCTGCTTATTATCCCCTCCACAGTCCCAAATCCCTACCTGAAGTTGGGGACAACACAGGCAAGAGAAGGGACCAGGGAGGCAGAGAGTAGACTTACCATAGAGGCAGAAAACAAGAAAGTGTCTGATCAGAACTGTGCCATTT